AAAAAAAAAAAAAAAAAAAAAAAACCACCAAGCGTGTAAGATTTGTTACGGAGTGCCTGGGACACTGACACACTCCTCTGACACCTCCCCAGGGGCTCTCTCCCTATTTCTGCCCCTCCTCCAGCCTTTAGCACTTTCCAGGCACCACTGCTAGGGGGGTGAAGCTCCACCTGTACTTCCTGTTCCTTGTCTATAAGACTCTGCCTGGGAGCCACCACTTTTTCTTTTTGAGTCAGAGTCTCACTCTGTCGCCCAGGCTGGAGTGCAGTGGCACGCTCACGGGCACCCCAGCGTCAACCTGCTGGGCTCCAGCGATCCTTCTGCCTCAGCCTTACAAGTAGCTGGAACTACAGGTGCACGCTACCACATCCGTCTAATTTTTGACTTATTGTAGAAATGAGGTCCCGCCAAGTTGCCCAGGCTGGTCTCGAACCCGCGGGCTCAGGCAATCCACCCACCTCGGCCTCCCAAAGTGCTGGGATTACAAACTGAGACACCAAACTAGGCCACTCTTCAATTTTCTTAGGACGATCCCATTGCAAATACTTTATCCTGTCCTCAGAGTGGATCAAACCATGCGCCTAAATTTTTGGTTTGAAAAAATATAGGCTCTTTTTTTTTTTTTTTGAGTTGGAGTCTCACTCTATCACCTGAAGTGCACACTCACAGCCACCTCAGTGTCGACCCACTGGACTCTGGCCATCCGCCTCAGCCTTCCAAGTAACCGGAACTACAGGCGCGCACTACCACGCCCGGCTGATTTTTTATTTATTGTGGAGACAAGGTCTCACCAAGTTGCCCGGGCTGGTCTCGAACCCGTGGGCTCAGGTGATGCCTTTGCCTTGGCCTCCCAAAGTGCTGTGATTACAGGCTGAGCCACTGAGCCTGGTGAAAGAATACAGGCTCTTAACTCTCCAACAACACAGAAAACTGTGGAATCAGCCTCACAGTTGATATCTGACTTGGGAGGGAAAGAGTGCCCTGAAGGCTGCATTATTCTATTCCCACTCAAGCACCCTGTGGACGGGAACATAATGTCCACCCTACAGGTGAAGAAACCGAGGCAAAGACAGGTGATGAGTGACAGCACTGAGACCCTCATTTCTAACCCAGGGCAACGGGGGAGCCCCATTCATCTTGTCTGTGCAGGAAGAGGAGGAGAGGAAGACAGCACTGCAGCCCCAGGAGGGAGTCTCCCAGAAAGGGTTCGCTGCCTGGTGAAGGGCTGTGATTCCCAGGCCTAGGTGCCTGGTAGACATGGCTCCGTGCCGGCCCCTGGGCTCTGATGACCACGTGCTTCAAAATCAGCTGCATGAACTGTGTCTAAAAAGCAGGTTTCTAGGCTCCACGCTTAGAAATTCCAATTCACCCAGCTCTGGCAAGAGGCCTGGGAATCTCCATCTTCACTGACAACCCGGGGATTCCATCACAAGGGTCCCAACTGGCCGGCGAAACACCATGGCTGCAAGTTGGATGACAGGAGTGGTCACAGTCATCTTGCATCTTGCATCTCACTCCAAAGGAAAGTCCATGAGAACGGGTTGGGAGGAGGCCCAGCTTCTGGACGCTCCAAGAACCTTCCTGGAGGGCCCCGCTTGGGAGCGCACGGGCTGCACGTGACTTGTCCGTCAAGTTTTAGTGCTGGAGGACCCCATCTGACCCACGGTCTCTGCCCGCCTCCCTCTCTGGATCCCAAAGTCGATTCTGTGGGTTTGGGAAATCTGAGTGCAAAGATTCTTGACAATTTCAGAATCCATAACCCTCCACCTCTGGAAGTGAGGTCTCCAGGAAGAGCAGGAAACTGCCTTGCTCCCCGGGCGGCCCCTCCCTCCAGTTCTGACCCCTGTGATGCATCTACCTCGGGAGGCATCAGCCCTACCCTGCCACCCATCTCACCTACTCTCTGAAGCCCCAGCTCCCGACCTCCCCAACAAGAAATGCTGTGTTTGGCCTTAAAGTCCCTGCTGGACCTGAGGAGTAAGAGCCAAAAGAAGAGATGAGAAAAGAGATGAAAGACACTTTGGGAGGCCAAGGCGGGAGGATCGCTTGAGGCCAGGAGCTAGAGATCAGCCTGGGCGACATAATGAGACCATGTCTCTACAAAAACTAAAAAAAAAAATAGCCGGGCATGGTGGCATGTGCCTGTAGTCCCTGCGACCCAGAAGTTGAGGTAGGAGGATTGCCTGAGCTCAGGAGGTGCCTCCACACTCCAGCCTGGGCAACAGAGGGAGACCTCAACTCAAAAAAAAGAGAGAGAGAGAGAGATGAAGGAAGCCTCTCCCCAAGGAGCTGAAAGCAAGTTGTGCACCCAGACACGAACCCCATGTGAACTGTCGCCACTTCCCAGCCCCAGGGATGTGCAGTGCAGTGGTGCTGTCCCAGAAGAACCAATGTGCAGGCTAGAAGTCACAGGAGAAAGGCTGAAATCACCCCAGAGGGGGCTTGGGCCTCTCTCCTCCACCACATTATCCAAAGCTCCAGCCCGTTATCAAGGTCCTCAACAGAAGCCCACGATGATCCTGACAGGGAGAGAGAGAAGCCAAAGGCAGCGGGATGGAAGTTTGGGAGACACTGGGGACTTACCTGCCCCTTGAGGCTCTCGATCTGACCCTGCAGCCTCTCAATGTCATGGCGCAGCTTGGAGATCTGGGCTTTGGTCTCCTTCATGCTTTCCCCATGAAACCGGGCAGACACCTGAAGCTCCTGGTACTGAGGGGAGAGTAGAGGTGATGCCCTTAGTGGAGGGGACCGCCACCTTTGGCCCCAAGACCACGGGAAACACCATCTCCTGAGGCTTGGAGACACCTCCTCACATCCTTCTTTGGGATGTGAGTTAAATGCCTGTGGCCAGGACACGGTGGGATGGGCTTGCAGGAGCCCAAGCCTGTCTCCCACAGTGCCCCTGCCTTGCCTTCCTTTGGGAGAGGGGACACTGTCCTACCCAGCCCACCCTGCACCTTCTGGGAGGTCACTGGAGTTGCCTCCATGGAAACAAGGTGGAGGACCCCCTGGGGTATGGATGTGGAGATCCTGCCATCCCCACCACGGTGCTGCCCTGGCCCTGCCACCTTGGTCTGGAACAAGGCCTCGGCCTCCGCCTTGCTGGTCCGGGCAATCTCCTCGTACCGGGCGCGGACCTCAGCGATGATGCCATCCAAATCCAAGCAGCGGTTGTTGTCCATGGAGAGGACCACGGACGTGTCGCTGACCTGGGTCTGGAGCTGGTGCAGCTCCTGCAGAGAAGGCCGATTCCGTGTCCACCATCCCCGGCTCCCTCTTCCCTGGGAACCCAGGGAGGGCGCCGGGCAGGATGCCTGAGTTTCTGCCCACACCCTGTCAGCTGGCCACCTTCATTCGCGCTGGGTGGCACTGAGTGTATCCTCCCCCCACAAGGGGCCCCATGTCCTCATCTGAACATGAGGGCCATGGTTTTCCCCAAGGACTCTCGCAGCCCGGCCATGAGAGGGAGATGGCTGCGGGGCCCAAGATCACCTGCCCCGTCATTCCTTAGACCCACCCCACTCCGCTCATTCTCACTCCCACTGTCCCCGCCATGCTGGCCTCCTGGCCTTCCCTCAAAGGCAGCACACTCCCGGCGGCAGGCAGCAGCCACTGCCTGAAATCCCAGAAACCTGTCTGCAGGGTGAACATCCTCACCTCACTCAGACTTGATCTCCTAAGTGAGGCCTACCCTGACCACATGATGTGAAACTGCCACCTGGCCCCCCTTTCCAATCCTCCTTCTCCTGTTCAAACCTTCCTTTTTTCCATATCATTTTTCACCTTCTTCTTTTCATTGTCTGGTTTTGTTTGAGAGTTTGTTTTTCTTTTTGTTTTGTTTGGTTTGAGTCAGAGTCTCACTCTGTCACCCAGGCTGGAGTGCAGTGCATGCTCACAGATGCCACAGCCTCCACCTGCTGGGCTCAGGAGATCCTTCTGCCTCAGCCTTCCAAGTAGCTGGAACTACAGGCACGTGCTACCACACCCGGGTTATTTTTTATTTATTTATTGTAGAGACGGGGTCTCACCAAGTTGCCCAGGCTGGTCTCGAACCCCTGAGCTCAGGCAACCCTCTCACCTCAGCCTCCCAAAGTGCTGGGATTACAGGCTTGAGCCACCATGCCCGGCTTGTTTTTGTCTGAGACAAGGCATCATTCTGTCATCCAGGCTGGAGTGAAGTGGTATGATCACGGTTCACGACAGCCTCAACTTCCCTAGGCTCAAGTGATCCTCTTGCCTCAGCCTCCTGAGTAGCCGGGACTACAGGCATATACCACTATACCACTATATCTAGCTAACTATTTTGTTGTTGTAGTGACGAGGTCTTGCTATGCTGTCCAGGTTAGTTTCTAACTCCTAGCCTCAAGTGATCATCCCACCTCAGCCTCCCAAAGAGCTGGGATTACAGGCGTGAGTCACTACGCCGCCCGACTGATCACCTTCTAATATACCATATAATTTCCTTATTTACTAAGTCTCTTGCTTATCATCTGTCTCTTTTTTTTTTTTTTTGAGTTGGAGTCTCACTCTGTCGCCCAGACTGGAGTGCAG